AAATTTTGGGTTTTTTTTTTTTGTTGTTGTTGTTTTTGAGACAGGGTCTCAATTTATGGCATTCAGGCTGGCCTTGATCTCAGTATGTAGCCCAGGCTGGTCTCAAACTCACAACAATTTTCCTGCTTCAGCCTCCCAAGTGCTGGGATTATAGGCATGTACCACCATGCCCAGCTTTTGTTTAAATATTTTAAATATTTTAAATATTCTTTCTTATTTTCTCTTTCTTTCTTTCTTTCTTTCTTTCTTTCTTTCTTTTTTTTAGCAAATGTTGGTATTATGTAATGCTTGTATTCCTTGTAGGGAGCTGCTATATGTACTTAATATATCTTAATCTAGGAAGTAGGAATCTTGACCCTACCTTATACACAAACCCAAACCCAAATCAATTTCTTTTCTTTTTTGGTACTGGGAATTGAACTCATGACCTTGTGCTTGCCAGGCAGGTGCTGTGCTGCTGAGCTATATCCCCAGCCCAAATCAATTTCAGATGGATCATATATCTAAATGGAAAAAGTAAAAGAAACATGATTTTGAAAGAAAATGAAGGAGAAAAATCTTCATAACTTTTAGGTTACAAAGATTTCTTAGGCAGGATACAAAGGAAAATGTTGATTGATGCAATATTTGAATTAAAAAGTTGTGTTCATTTAAAATACCATTCAGGCTGGGAATATAGCTCAGGGGCACAGCACCTGCCTGGCAAGTGTGAGGCCCTGAGTTCGATTCTCAGTACACACACACACACATACACACACAGACTACTCATTTAAAATACCATTAAGAGATTTAGAAAGGCAGACATAGAATAGAAAATTACCACAGGAAAAAACCAACAAAGCTGGACATGGTGGCACACACCTATAATCCCAGTACTGGAGAGGGTGAGGCAGGAGGATCTCTGTGAGTCTGAGCCTAGCCTGGGCTACATAGTGAGACCTTGTCTCAAAAAACAAACCAACAAAAAAACCCCCCAATTTTGTAACGGTACAATAATTTAGCCAGAGTTAGTGGCATATACTGTAATCCCAATGCCAGGAAACTGAGGAGGATCTCAATTTTGAGGCCAGTCTGGGGTACACACCAAGGCCAGCACTAGCCTGAGCTATGTGAGGATAGCGTCCTACCCCCCCACCCCCACCCCCAAAAAAAAGGAAAAAGAAAAGAAAAGAAAATTGACAAAATTTTAGCTGCACCAAACAGAGCTGCGGGGGTGATAAAAGAACACTCAAATTACTGAAATCAAGAATGAAAGAAGGGGCACCACTATTGGTATTTTAGAAACAAAGAGAATTGTAGCGGAACACTAAAAATTGAATGCTAACTCAGACAAAATGGACAAATTTCTTTTTCTTTTCTTTCGTTTTTTTTTTTTGAGACAGGGTCTCACTAGATTCAGGCTGGTCCTGAACTCCCTATGCAGCCCAGCTGACCCTGAACTTGCAGCAATCCTCCTGCCTCAGCCTACTGAGAGCTAGGATTATAGCCTGGCCAACAAATTCCTAAAAAGACAAAAATCAATAAAACTGATTTAAGAAGAAATGAAAATATGAATAGACCTTTAACAACAGTTTGAATTGTAATTGTATTAAAATTACAAAATGAATAAGCAACAAAAATAAAGCCCAGATCCACATGGCATCACTGGTAAATTCTGTGAAATATTTGAAGTCAACACCAACACTTCCAAAAATTAAGAGGCAGGAACACTTACTGCAGGAGGTCAGTATTACTCTAAAACCCAAATCAACAAAGGCATCATAAGAAAATAATGCTACAGACCACTGTATCTTATAAACATAGACAGAAAAACCCTCAGCCGGATACTGCTAGCGAAGGCCAGCAATATGTAAAAAAATTCACAAAGCCCAGTGTGGTGACGTATGCCTGTAATCCTAGCACTTGGGAAGCGGAGGCACAAAGATCTCAGTGAGTTTGAGGCCGATTTGAACTGCATAGTGATACTCTATATCAAAAACCAAAAAATTTACTCCAGGATTACGTGGGATTTATCTCAGAAATACAAAAGTGACTTAACATATGAAAATCAATCAATGTAATATATCATATCAGAAGAATAGAGGAGAAAAGACAAGTGATTATCTTCTTAACAGATGCAGAAAAAGCATTCCACAAATCCAATGCTCTTTCCTGATAAAAACCCTTCAACCAAATGAAGACCACTTATGAAAAACTCAGAGCTAATATTGCACTTAATAGTGACTTGTTTTCCCCTGAGATCAGGAAAAAGATAAGACTGATTATTCTCAACACTTCTGTTCAACACAGTACTGGAAGTTATAGGCAGAGAAACAATAGAAAAGAAAAGAAAAAAAAAGCATTCAAATTACAAAAGAAAAAGTAAAATCTCTATTTCAGAAGACAATCACATATGTAACCCTTAAGATTCCCCTACTTCCCCCAAAAACCAGTGGGAGTCAACAAATTTAACAAATTACATTCTTCTGTACTAGTGATGGATAATTTGAAAAGGAAATTAAGAAAGCTCCATTTAAATAACATCAAAAAGAATAAATAGGAATAATTTTAATTAAAAAACACTTAAAACTTTAAAAGTTTTTTGAAAACAGGTAAAGAAAATACAGGATAAAGACATCCATGCTCATGGATCAAAAGACTTGGTATTAGCTGGGCATGGAAGCCCACGCCTGTGATCCCAGCACTCTGGGAGGCTAAGGTCGGGTGACCGAAAGTTCAAACACAGCCTGGATAATTTAGCAAGAGCCTGATCTCAAAAACAAAAACAAAAAAATCTTAAAATGGTACTACTAAATTGAACCACAGATTTGATGCAATCCCTATTAAAATCTTGTTTGCCTTCTCAAAATTGCTAGGAGGTCAGTATTACTCTAAAACCCAAATCCACAAAGGACACTAAGTTATATGGAGATACATAGACCCAAATAGCCTGAGTAATCTTTCAAAAGAGAAACATATGGAAGACAGAAAAAAATTGAAGGAGTTACATTTAGATCAACAGAACAGAAAAACTCAGGGTGCTGTAGGGCGGTAGGACTCAGGGTGGTGGTTACAGGGAGGAGGAGGAGGAGGAGGGAGGCCTCTGGGTGAAGTAATGTTTTATTTCTTTATCTTTATGCTGATTGCAAGGGTGTGATCAGTTTGTGAAAAAAACTTAAACTATGAATACATTCAAGTTCTGTGTACCCGTGTTGTACTTTGATATAAAAATTTACTTATAAAATTCTATCTAGTCTCCTAGTCTCTTTTTATTTTTATTTGTGTATTTATTTTTGGTACCAGGAATCAAACTCAGGACCTCATGCTTGCCAGGCAGACACTGTGCCACTGAGCTGTATCCCCGCCTTCCTGGTCTCTTTCTAAATGTCTCTTTATTAACCTTTGCGAAGTCATGAGGTCTCTGGGATGCCTGTAATTGAAGGTAACTAATTCTCTGACGCCACAGCACTTTGTGGAACCCTTTGGTGACATAGTCTTAGCTATAAACAATTGCATGCAATAGCAGCACTTTGGAGACCTGGGTTCCAGTTTCAGCCACTTTCCAGGGGGGCGACCATGAACTAATCTCTCACGGAGATAAAGTTCTCTGCTAACACAGCAGGATGTGATTTTGCTGATTTAAGCAGAACAGGGGATCCGAAGTTCTTGGCATTGTCAGAAAACTGGAGCCAGGGCTGGGGATTTAGCTCAGCGGCATAAGTGCCTGCCTTGTAAGTGCATGGTCGCGCGTTCAATCCCTGTACCAAAAAAAAAAAAAACAAAAAACAAAACAAAAAAAAACCTGGAGCCAGGCTAACAGGTACGCTGCCAGGTAGGCTAAAGTCATACGAAGGTGCCAGCCTGCCACAGATGCCATGCTGCTACTGTTGAGTCACAGATCCAGCTTCACGGATAGTTTTTTTTTTTTTTTCTTTTTCTTTTTTATCGGTACTGAGGATCGAACTCATGACTGCCTACTTGCAAGGCAGGCGTTTATGCTGCTGAGCTAAATCCCCAGCCCCTCACGGATGGTTCTTAATGATGCTGCCTATAGCATTGCTGCTTCTTGAAATAGAGGATGTGACACACCTGCCACCAGGGCAGATTCTGCACAGACCCTGTCATTTTATGTCCCTGGGTATTTATGCTGAGTCACCATGGCATGAGTGCCTGATTAGTAGAGTGAGTGGTCATGTGCCTTTATCCTAGCTACAAGGGATTCTGAGGAGATACTCGAGTGTCAGGCTTGCCAGGCAGGTGCTGTGCTACTGAGCTATGTCTCCAGCCCCCTTTTAAAGCTTTTATAGCATTAGATAGTCTTGTTTTTTTTTGTTTGTTTGTTTGTTTGCTTTTTGAGGCAAGGTCTCACTATGTAGTTCAGATTGGCCTTGAACTCGCTTATATAGCCCAGGCTAGCCTTGAACTCATGGCAACTCTTCTGCCTCAGCCTCCCCAGTGCTGGGATTGCAGGAATGTGCAACCATGCCCAGCAGTCTTGATTCTTCGGGGGGAGGGTTTCCCCAAATATCACAGAAGTGGGCACCAAAGAATGAAAGCTGCTGACTGCATCACCAAGGAGAGTTACCCCCCAAGCCTGCTTCTTCATCCATAAAGTAGAGACGGTGATGGTTCCTCCCAAAGGGCGTTATCAAGGGCCAAAGGAGCTCTCGGGTGGAAAGGGTCTATCAGACACCTTGTAGTTTATGATAATATCATTACTGGGGATCTGAAGTTCATTCTCCTATGGCCCCGGAGCTCTGCATAGCTTGACTGCTCAGCATTTCATGTTTACCTGCAGGCTGTCGAAGTAGATTCCCTTTGTCATGTTCGAGCAATTGTACAACGTTTCTAACTCACAGAGAAGTCTGTTGGCAGCAGCCACCTTGGCCCTCAGCCTGCAGAAATAACACCGTGGTGCAGAGACTCGGTATCCCATAGCACCTAGGGAAGCTGTCAGGGAAAGGTAGTGTTACAAGAGATAGCTGATGGCTTTCAATTAGTTGAAATCAATGCCAAACGGGTTTGATTTAAACTTCTTTTATTTTTAAACATTTTTTTGTGTTTAATACCCTTCATCGATTCAGTGCCCAAATGAAGGAGCGTCCACTCAGTTAAGAAAGTCACCTGGTCACAAACAAAATGCATAGCTGTGTTATATAACCCCTGCCTGGAGCCCGGCTGCCGGCTCCCGGGGCGCAGGGACCTGTCTGCACGTGTTTAGTAGCACCTCAGCTTTCTTTCATAAAAGAGCCCTTCCAGGGTATGTTTATTGAGCTACCTTCTTTAATAAAAAATGAGACACAAATACCCCTTTGTTTGCTTCTAGGAAGCTTTCACTATGGGCAGAAAAGTCTGGAACATTCCAGATAATTTTAGAAAAAAGAAAAAAAAAAAAAAACCCAGAAATCGTATACATTGGCGGGAGCCGAGTTCAGCTCTCAAAGAAACAAAATTGTCTTGGTTTCTAAACCTTTCCTCCTTGAGTCTTTAGCAGTAGGTGAAGCAGGAATCAAGCCCCAGGGGGTTGAGAAATGGCTGCTTTGGCTCCGATCATGGAAACCCAAAGGATATCGCCAAAATGGCTTCATCTCCTTTCAGTTTGGAAACCAGGTCTCTGAGCACCTCACAAATCATGGACAAGCCTGTTGTTCTGTTCAGCTCACAAAGGAATCTGTGCATTTGAAGCCCAGGATGGCAGGGAACAGTGATACGATGGAAAGATAGACTCTGGCTTCAAAGAAGCCTGGTGTTGTCCTGGCTTTGCAACTTACCAGCTGCTTGTGTGACTCGGGGAGAGTGCATATTTTTTGATCTGAAAATTCACACCTGTGAATGGGAAATAATACCTCCCAGGGCTATTGGGAAAATTAAATCCTGTGAGATAACTGATGTGACTTGGAGAGTGCCTGGTACTTACAGGAAATTTAAGCACAGACGTAAGAGATGGAAGAGAAGATGGAGGAGAAGGAAGAAGGGAGAGTTTACTGGTATTTCTCCAGAGCTAGTCCAGGGAGTTTCGTTCCATTTGATTTTTTTTAAGTGTTAGGCATTGAACCCAGGGCCTTTGTGTAATGTTGGGTGCTGTTTAGCGGGCATCTCCTTGGCACCAGGCACTGTATTTAAGCTGCTTTGACTCACACTAACCCAGAGAGGCAAGTGCTGCCATTTCTACTTCATGGTCAGGAAACCAAACATGGAAAGGCGGAGTCACTTTCCCAAAGCCACCCATCAGGAAGTAGGGCAAATTTCCTTAGCGCCAAAGCTTCCCCTTTTCTGGAGATCGCTCTCCAGCCTAGCTCTCTACAGAGAAATGGTCCGGGAATGGGCTGCTTCAGATGTGTCTAGAGTCTCTTCCCAGTGCCCAGGAAGGACAGAGGTGCAGTGTAATCAGTGTCCAACTACGGGTCCTGGGAGGTAAGGGGTTAACAAGACCATAAGAGCTTCTTGGGGAGCTAAGAAATGAGACTGAGCTGGGGTCCACCCTCCTCCTGAAGGATCCCTGACCGGCTACCAGGATTGGTCAAGGCAACAAGCTTTGATCCTAGAGGCCATGGTGTCTCAAGGTCGTCCTGCCTTCTACTGACTCTACTAATGAAGCATAAACCTCTGGGTGAAAAAATAGTCCATTTTTCTTGTAACTTTTCTTCAAGGGAGAGAAATACATTAACCAATCACTGATCACCCAGGGGTTATCTAATAGTGGAAGAGGTTACATATAAACAAGTTGGCTTTCTGGTTAGTCCAAGTTAGTTCCCCAGCATCTGATGATGGGGTTGAGCATTTCACTCTGCAAAGCAATGGATTTGGCACTCATCTGAGATGAGGCCAGTGGTAGACCCTGGGCGACACTCTTGGCAGCATTCCCTGACCCAACTCCTGATCAAAAGAGTCAGGGCTGTCTGTCTGTCTTCCTGCAAGCTTGTCTGTCTGTTAGCTATCGCACATGTCAGGAGTCAGCCAGATCCACTTTGGTGGGTTTCAGCAGAGCTCTGTCTCATCTGATGACAAAATAACATCCACAGCTTTTTGACAGGGTGGCAGCGGGGCTGTGGACACGGTCAGGGTGAGCGAGGGCAGGACGCAGTTAAGGAAGAAGCGGGGACTGTATGAAAGATGCTCTGTCGGCCTGACCGCAAGGAACTCGTGGTAAAGCTGCCGGAGAAGTGTGCTTCCGGGTGTGCACCCTGGAGAAAGCTCTTTGGACAGTGGCAGAGATGGTGGCAGCATGGGGTCACCGAGCCTCCGAGTGGAGGTCAACAGGGCTGAAGGTCACCGTTGCAGGCTGCTGGCTGCTGTTGCTGTTTGGGTCCATGGCAGAAGGAGCAACTGGCTTAGGGCCTTTGGGCTCCAGCTCCCGCCGCATCCTCATTTTCCTGTAACGACACAGATACGCAGGGCTGAGTCTCTTTCCTCCCACGGCACGGGGAACAGGCTCTGGGTCCAAGAGATGGATGCGGTCACTGTGAACTCATGCTGCTTAATTGCCAGCCATGGGATTTTACCACTGGCAGAGAATTTAGACATCAACTGGACTGACCCTGCATTTTTTGCTCAGCTTAGATTACATTTACTTTTATTTGTTGCTCTTAACGAATAAGTACAGTGTGACAGAAGTGGCCACATTCAAGCCAAAATGAAAATATTACTGTATATATTTTCTGTTCAAAGCTTTAGTGTGAGTTACATTTTTGCAGGATCCTTATGCTTGCTAGATTGATCGCTGGCATTATTTAAAAGCTTTTTACATAGCTAAGAGATTGTGCTTCAAATGTGAATGCTGGTTTCATTCCACGCGCCATAAAATTCAGCGCCTAACAACAATCATGAATTCTAATGTCTACATGATATTTCACCTTATTGCTATGTCATAATTCTTTTTTTAAAAACAACCTTCAAATTCTCAGAGAAGTTGCACAAATAGTATAATTAATACCCCCCAGTCCTTCACTGAAAAATTCATCAAATTGTTGTTTTCTTGTTCTCTCTCCTCTTCATGCGTGCATAAACATACAGCGCTCTGCTGACAGAACCCAGCTGTCTCAGATTAGGGGGGGGGGCTTCACCCAGATTACAATTAGCAAAGGGGCTTGGTGAGCATTTTCTTTGAAACCAGATAGACTGGGTTTGAACCTCAGCTCTGCTAATTAGGACTGCGCAACCCTTAGGGATGTGAATTATTTCCAATTGCACAGATCAGGCAGTTCCAAAGCCCAGGCATCCCGTACCTGTTGTACATCTTCAGCAGGATCAGAACCACGGTGAAGATGATGATGATCACCACCACGATGGCGGCGATGATGGCTCCAGCACCTGCAGAGGGAACAGGGCGCATGCGCAGGCTGAATGCAGGCTGGGCGGGGCCCACTATGGTACCTGAGGTTCCCCCTCTGAATCAAGGGAAGGAAGAGGCCTCACTGATGACCTGAGACAGTGGCACCTCTGCAGTGGCCATGCACCCCTAACCCAGAAGGGCCTGAAGGACCACAACCCAGCATGTCATCTGCCGGACTCTGTCCTAGGCTGAGAGAGCATCAGCGCAGCTTCAAACGTCTCGTGTAAAACAGACATGTGAACAGCTCCCCAGCTTTTGTTTAAGACAGGTCTTACTATACAGCCCAGGCTGGCCTCAAATTCACAGCACTCTTCCTGTCTCAGCCTCCCGAGTGCTGGGATGATAGGCAAGTACTACCACACCCGGCCTCCCTGCTTTGGATAATACAAAAGTTACAGTTGCATATTGAATGTTTATTAATATTTGTAAAATAATTTATCGATCCTATATCTGAAAAGTCGATCCTGAGAAAATATTCCTAAATGTGGAAAAATAAGCACTTGCTAAAAATATAAACCTCTTCTACATACTGTTTTATAATAAGCTCGTAGACTTCTTTCCATGTAATTACCTTTTCTTTCACTGCTGTTGGTTTTTCTTTTTTCTTGTTTGCAGTCCTGGGGATTGAACCCAAGGCCTCGTGCATGGTAAAAAGTGCAGATATTCCTCACTTATCAACATACCCATTTAATGACTGCTCAGACTTACAATCAAGGGGAGCTATTTGGACTTATCACCTGTATGGTTTTTTCTTGCAAGAAGGATAGTACGCTTTGCTTATACAGTACTGTGATTTTTACTGTAGTTTTATGTTCTGTTATATATTACAATACTGCGTGTAAGAGTAATGCAAATGAACTTGGTGTAGTGGTGCACACCTGTAATCTCAGCACTTGGGAGACTGAGGCAGGAGGATCAGAGTGAGTTCAAGGTCAGCCTGGGCTACACAGCGAGTTCTGTTTCCTGGCATGGTTACACTGGTGTGTGTATTTAGTGACAATTTACCCCCCTTATGATTTGTGCATTTGTGTGAATGAACAGAAACCTTTCTAAAATGCCTTTATTTGCTAAGTTGGTAACTGCCCAGGAGAGCATAATTGCCTAATGAAGAGCCACTAGCTTGGTTAAGTAAAAACATTCCCATCTTGCTGGCTGTCACCATGCCCACCCTGGACCTCCCCTTGAAACTTTCTAGAGATGCATGCAGTGTGTCTCAGTGGGTCGGGTTATTCAGTTGGCAGGGAGCAGGATAACCAGGGGAGCCTGTTCTAAGAGCTGCCCTTCTGGGTCTCCTGCCCTTAATCCAGCCCCCTGTAGGTGCCAGGCTGGGGCAGTCTATCACAGGGAGTGGTGGTGGAGGTGGGCATCTCTGTGTGAGGGGAAGCCTGTGTCATATTCACAGAGCCAAAGGAAATGGCAGAAAGGCACTCAGAGTCTCCCTATACAATCAGGTCTTTCTTTCTTATTTATTTATTAGATTTTTGAAACAGAGTTTTGCTATGAAGTTCAGGGTGGCCTTGAACTCACTTTGTAGCCTAGGCTGGCCTCAAACTCATGGCAATCCACTTGCCTCAGCTTCCCAAGTGCTGAGATTACAGATTGTGCTCCACCACACCCAGCTAGAAACATTTTGAAAGAGTTTCAAATCCTACTGCTCTCTACGACCCTATCACAAAAACAACAGCAGTATCTGGGATTCCAAAAATGGTGCTGGTTAGGCACCGAGTCTCACTGGAGATCACGGGGCTGTTCTAGGACCTGTATGTGACTGAGGCATCTCTTGGAGTTCTCATAACTGTTTTATGTGGCAGTTTCATGAATATCGCCATCTTGCAGATGAGGAAACTGAGGCCCAGAGCATAGACTTCATGTGTTCAGGACCATGCACGTGGCAAGTGGTGGAACTGGGTCAGCACAGAGCCAGCCCCTGTGTCAAGGCCCGCATCTGACCTCTGTGCCCCAAGGGGACCCCGGCATACCCTGCCGACCCTCCCGTGCCTTCAAGCCAGGTTGACCTTACTCTTATAGAGGAAATCTTCTTCCCTCGTGGTCATGTTCAACGAGAAGAAGGTGGAATCCCCCAAAGTGGTGGGAGTGGTCATCTCGACCCTGGTGAGAATGAAAGAGAAATTTCACTCAAAACCCACAGTGACCCTCATCATGCCTGTGTGATGCCTCGTTTGGTCTGCATCTGGATGGCTGTGGAATAGTCTCCCGTGCTGTCCTTTCTTGACAGCACGAGGTCCATGACTAAAATCCTAGAATTGGGGGGTGGATTACAGATAATACTCAAGATTTCCAAGGAATTTCGTTTCTCAAATCTATTCACCAGTACAGTGGATCCCTGAAATTCACGAGGTTATGTTTCTGGAGCACCAGCCAATTGTGAAAAACCAAGAATCTCAGATATGGTCTGAAAAATGCCTGTAAGTGCCTATTTTTATAGTTTAAACTCTAATTTATTAAACCTGCTGTTATGCAGCTTACTTTAATAAAATACTGCATCATAAAGCCGTAGAAGGTGCAGGATGTTTTGGTGGCATCTTAGGAACCTCAGGGATTTAAGAAGGGCAAAAGTGAGAACGGTGGTCCCCCAAATGCAGAAAATATTTTCAGTTTCCATGACATTTGGGGGTTTTTTTGCACAAAATTATTAGCTAGGTTCTAATGAAAAATAACAACATCCACCAAGAAAAATAAAAAAACCCACCAAGAACTGAAGCCATGAACTCTGCACTGTGACCTTTCAGGGGTATACACCACACTCACCCAGTTCCTCCCGTTTCATACCAAATGTCTACTTTGATCTAAAAACCATGTGAGGTGAGTTACCATTGCTATTCCGCTGATGAAACTGAATTACCCAAAGCTACACGGAACCCCAAGTTTACCTATTAGAATTTCGCCCAGTCTGTCCACCTCCCATCCTAGGCTCCTTTCTACAGCCTGCAACAATGCCTGAAAAAGTATTTCTATTTCTTAATTAAAATTAAGCCAGGTGTGGTGGCACATGCCTGTAATCCCAGCTCTTGGGATTCTGAGGCAGGAGGACTGACAGGAGTTCAAGGCCAACCTGGTCTATGTATTGAGCTCAAGGTGAGGTAGCACTACATAGGGAGAACTTGCCTCAAAAAAACCCCAAACAATCCCTGCCCCCAGCCAAAAAACTATAGGACTAAGAAAAAATAAAAAATCAGATTTTTTGAGACAGAGTCTTGCTATATTGCAACTTCTGTGTTCAAATGATCCTCTTTCCTCAGCTTCCTGAGAGTTGGCCTCCCAGTTCCCTGGTACCCCTCCTGGCTACAAAACACCATTTCCAAGTGACAGTTTCCTGTAGCTACAGGCGATGTGCAGGCTCATGGGCGATCTACCTTGAGAATTCTTTAGGACTCTTGTAACCCTGGGGTGCTCTGGGGCCCCAGCACAGCCACTCCATCTTCTGGAGAAGAGAGAGTCTGTACATTAAAAATTATTTTTGCATACATTTATTTTATAACAGTAAGAAAATGTTTTCAGTACAGTGGATTGAACTCAAGATCTTTACACTGAGCTACATCCCCAGCCTTTTTAATATTTTTATTTTAAGACATGGTTTCACTAAGTTGCCCAGGCTGGGATCTTCCTGCCTCAGCTTCCCAGAGTGCTGGGATTTCAGATTGTGACACTGCAATTGGCTAAGAACTTTTTAAGTTATGACTATTTAGATAATAGGAGCCCACATATGTATCGCTCAGGTTTAACAAAAAAAAAGTTTTTTAGAACTAGGAATCAAACTCAGGACCTTGCGCTTGCCAGGCAAGCACTGTGCCACTGAGCTATACCCCCTTAACCCAACAAATAGTGACAGTTGTATTTTCTTCAGTTTGTTTTCTTGTTTTGTTTTGGTAGACTGGGGATTGAAGTCAGGGCCTTTACAGTAAATTGTTCAGCATGGCTCAATTTGTGATTCTCCTGCCCTGGCCTCCTCAGTGGCTGAGGTTACAGGTGTGTATCACAGTACCTAACATGAATTCTTTCTTTCTTTCTTTCATTTATTTATTTATTTATTTATTTATCTTTTTCCTTTTTATCGGTACCAGGGATCGAACTCACGACTGCCTGCTTGCAAGGTAGGCACTTATGCCACTGAGCTAAATCCCCAGCCCATGAATTCTTTATTTTAAAAAATGAGATGAAGTTTAAATCTCTTCTGTCTCAGTCCCATTTCCTCTCTTCCTCAAGTAACCGCTACCTTGACCACTGTCTCCACAAAGTTTTAAAATATTTGTTACACATGTACATATACCTAAACATTATATCAGAGTGCTGCATATTTATGAAACAAATATCCACTGAGAAGCCACTATGCCACCTGGGGATGTGCCGGGTGCTGGGAATACACTAGAAATGAAAGAAAAATCTGCCCTGGAAGTTCATGCTCTACTGCGAGGACCTAGATTTGGTCTTGCCATTCTGGGGCTCAAGTAACAATTATCACCTCGCACTGCATGTGCTATGTTTTTGAGATAAACTCCCATCTTGTAATCCAAGCTAGCCCTGTATTCCCTGTGATCCTCCTGCCTAAGCCTCCAGAGTACTGGGGATACAGATGTGTGCCACCGTGCCTGGCTTTATAATTCCTTTTAAAAACAGAAATATGAAGGGCCGAGGATACAGCTCCATAGCACAACACCTGCCTGACAGGCGTGAGGTTGTGAGTTCAATTCTTGGTACCTAAATAAATAAGTAAATAAATAAAATAGATAAAAATAGAAATACGAGTAGGTGGGCACTGACCGAGTCGCTCAGTGAGAAAGATGTAACACAATCATTGGATAAACCCACAATTAACCCAACATACACAAAAATAACACACCACCGACAAAACAGCTGCCAGTTGTCATGACTGTGCCAGATATTTCTCAATCATGTGCTGATTTAATTAGCAAAATGCTATTTAAGACAGGACTTCCTTTCCTTTGTTTCTTTTCTTTTTTGTTTTGTTTTTCCCCCCTCCGGTACCAGGAATCAAATTCAGGACCTTGTGCTGGCCAGGCCGGCACTGTGCTGTTACGCTGTATCCCTGGCCCTCTTTTCATTTTGAAGGAGGACTCTGAGACCTGCGGCCATAAAGCTCCATCTCTGTAATCATGCAGCTTGGGAGCCTGCATAGCTGGCATTTCAATCCAGGCCTTGCAAACTGTCCCCGAGGTGCCCCAGTCACTGCAAGAATCCATGTACACACACAGGCATGCACACACTTGCACACACAAGCACTGACCGGTAACGCTGCCTCCTAAGGTCACAGGACACAGGCTCCTCCGCAGGGCCTTCAGGGATGACCTCCCTGTGCTGAGTTCCAGGTGTGGACTCCCTCTTGGGTGGACCCTGTTTCTCCTCTTTCTAGAAGAGTGAGCAACCCCAGGGCAGATCTCGCCAGGCTGCAGGCTGTCAATGACATCTCTGTTCCTGCCATCAGCGAAGGTGGGAGGGAGGGTGGTGGAACACCGAAGCCAAAGATGTGGGAGTTGTCATGTGTGGGCCCCAGTGCCTGCCAGTGAGGTGCAGCGGGGGGGGGGGTCCCCCCAGGAAACAAGGATTAGGCAGGGCGAGGTCTGCTTTCACAGGGACAGGTTTATTTAACAACAACAGCAGCAACAGCAAAACAGCACGCACTCAGTGATTCTCGTGAGTGACCACATTTAACCCTCAGTCCTATCCAGTCAATGGGAAGATTCTGCAGAGAGGGGACCTGAGGCCCAGAGGAGCGCAGAGACCCCCTAAGTTCACAAGGCTGACGCAATAAGCGTTCTGCGATTCAGCCTGGGGTCTGTCTGAAGTCACAACTCTTTTTCCACAAACCCTCCCAAGAAGTGCACAGGCCCAGGGGAGCACAGCAAGGAGGTAACCCACACGGACTGGGGTGCAGTGCCCAGAGCCAGAGCCCTTGCCCTGGGCGCCTGGCCCTGACTCCTGCCCGCCTGGTCCCTGCCCTTGACCTCTCTCTGAGTCTCTGTCTCTGGCCAAGCTCCAGTCACATTTACAGAATCTACAAGGAACTGTTGTTCCTCCGGGTTGTTTACAAATGGCCTGGAGTGGGAAGTCAGTTTGGGAAGTGGCCGCGGGTTAGGATCATTTACTTACTGACTCATGGCTCTCTGGCCGGCCCTTGGTCAAGCGTAAGCGCCATTATCTGGAAGATAAATGGTGCCACTCTCTCTGCCTCCTGCCCGACTCCCAAATTCCTCCCTGGATATGACAACACACACATTCCCGACCCCAGCAGACACCCAGGAACGGTCAACTGCAGCTCAGAGTAGGTAACCCACAAAAGCCCTTGATGCTGTCAGTTCATGCAGTTGGGATGATCAGGTTGTCTCCAGGGTCCTCTTAATCCACTTGGCCATGTGCTGGACTCTGTATTCATATCTCTGGAAGACATTCCACACTGCAGTAATTTGTTTTCACATACTGGTTGGGAAGACTTAACCAGATTAATTTGAAAAATCTTTTTCTAAATGGATTTCCCTGCAACGGAGGATAACTTCCCCAAATTTCTCTACAGTAAGTCTATCAACATGCACAAACCAGTGACCTACTGTGACTTACTCCATGCAGTGAAAATACTGGGAATTAGCTTCATTGCCTATAGTTATATAATCAAACTTTGCAAGCCATGGAATTAATTAATTGTGATCCTTTTGCTCAATGCCTAAAGTGTTTTCTGAATATATCTGGTAAAGGCGCTGTTATGGCTTAGGTCTAGATGTTCCTCCAAAGCCTCATGTGGTTTTAGATGGCTCTTTATCAGAGGCTGAAGCTAGAATGTGCGATTGATTGAAGGTGCAATGCTGGGATTAAAAGCGGGTGATTGCTGGATCAGCCCACTGATTGGACTGGCACCGCCCTAATCCTGTAGACTGGATACATATAAGGGGAAGAAAGAGCCCTCCCTCTCCTTCCCCCTCTTCCCTCCTTTCCCCTCTCCCTCCCTTCTCTCACTGCTTTTGCTGGCTTCTGCAGCCATGAACTGTTGCCCCTCTGCCACACTACCCTGCTTTGGAGCCGGGTGATTATGGACTGAAACGTCTACAAACTGTGAGCTAAATAAATCTCTCCTCCTTTAATTTTGAGTGTCAGGTATTTTATCCCAGCACCAAGACAGAAGTAACTATGATAGGCACTGTCAGATAATTTGGAGTTAAGTATTTATTCTAGACAATGTAAACATGTATAACTTCATGTCCTGAAGTCAGATTGTGTTTGGATAAGAAATAACTGTGATGCCAGGTGTGGTGGCACAGTCCTGTAATCCCAGCACTTGGGAATTGGAGGCACGAGGATCATCATGTGTTCAAGACTAGGCTGAACTACATCTCCAGACTCTGCCTCAAAACACAAACAAAAAATCGTTTACTAGAAATATTTGATAATGTACAAAGTAAGTTTGTAATGATACTGTTCAATTTTTATATTTTCTACACCCCACTTTTTGTAAATAATCTCAAAAAGCTTGATAGATAAAATGTATTTCTGTACTACCATAAAAAAGAGAGCCCTTGATGTCCTAAGACATTGAGATTGGTTTCCACCAGGCACCTCACAGATGGGAGATTCAGCACAATTTATCTCTTCCACAGACAGGAGCCTCACCATACATTCCTACCCGGTCCAGAGAGTTACTGTCATGGTTTGTCAGAAAACTGCCCATCGTGGTGGCACCTTGTAGCTTTCACCCATTGGTCCTCGTCCTCTTCTGCTGTCTTTCTGTCCCTTCCGAATGACGACCTGTCAGATCTCAGTGCACCTCTGTGTATAAAAGTTGAGTTCAAACTTGGCTCTAAATTAGGTAACCCCTCTCAGCGCAACGATGCTACCTCCCACCAGTAGGTGGCAACAGCTGTTGGTTGCAGGTTGCTGGTTAAACTCAAGAAAAGGAACTTTCTGCCTTTGAAAACAGCAACTGTATGATCTTTGACAGTTTTCTTTTCTGGGATATTCTCAGGTCCTCCAGAGAATTCATATGGTGATGGTATCCATCATTCCTCTGTCTACCTTAACTATTACAAAAATAGATGCGATTCTGAAGGGGCATGAAATGCTCAGAATGACATTTGTCTTGCTATTTCTCAGTCCTTAACCTGAATTTTACTACTTATTGGTGTGTAACCTTCACCAACTTTTTTTATTTCTTGGCTTTCTAATCTGTAAAGCAGAATAGTCACAGCCCTATGGGGTGTTGGGGGGTGAAAACTTGAAGAAACACTATATATATTATATATATATTATAAATATATATATATATCCATAGTGACTCTGGTAGTGAAAAAAATATATATATATTTGTTTGTTGAGACAGGGTATCATTATGCAGCTCAGGCTGGCATTGAGCTCACTTTGTAGTCCAGGTTGACTTCAAACTCACATGGATCCTTCTGCCTCAGCCTCCTGAGTACTGGGATTACAGTTGTGTACCACCAGGTCAGGCTTATCACGTCCTATATTTAGCATAGTGGCTGGACACAAAATGTGTTGATGTTACACGGGGTCACTAAAAGAAACAGCTCCTAGCAGCCGTGGCACTGCTCACAGACACGGTTGACCTGCACTCTTGCTGAGACTGTGCTTGTTCATGATCAGTCAGAACCCTAACGAGCCAGAGAAAGGACATCATAAACTGCGAGTGCTGTGGAAAATGAGGGGCAGTGCGGCAGAGGAACGGTGTTTATTCTCACGAGTCCACTGCCCTGGGCCCCACTCTACATTTGTGCAGGCGTCTTTTGGAAACAGAGTGCAGGACTCTGCATTCGTCTTTGTCAGTCTTGACCTTGCTGATGTGGGCCTTCGGGAGAGCAGTCCCAGCTCTTCCTGGGTGGCTCTCGAGAATGCCTGCTCGCATTGAACACAGTACATTGTTGAGTAATTCATGACCCAGTGAAGGCTTCGGGTCAAGGAGACCTGGATTGAATCCCTGACCAGTTCCCTGAGACACTTCTGCAGGGCTCAAGATTTTTATCTGTAATGTAGGGCTCACATGTGCTGTGCTGTGGGGTTGTAAGAATCCCTGAGGACCACACGTGCCCAGCAGAGCCCCTGGGGTGCAGTGGGTGCATCCCCAGCCCCTTTTTCCCTCTACCGTCTTAGTCCTGTTTCTCTCTGCTCCTCCTGGACTTTACCTGGCTGAGCACAAAAACAGGGAGGCTGGGAAGCCAGACCTGGTAGGAGGGGCTCACAGGGAGGGGGCTGGAAGAGGCGCTCCCCAGAACTTCCCTGGTACCTCCACTTTGGGCAGGGGCAGAGGAAATGTGAAAGCTCCCCCTGGGGAGGTGTAGAATCCCAAGGGATGGTCAGGGGCTGCTGGGTGGCTGAGGAAGAGCAAGCTGCAGATTCATGTCTTGGGATAAAATTCGGGGGGCCAGGATCTCCACCTGCCGTGTGACTTGAATAGTCATCTGTTCTGCTGGGCTTTGAGTTTTGTGTCCAAAAGGGCCCCATGTGGAGATAATTTTGAAGCTCCTTTTCAACCTGTGATTCTCGTGCCTGGAGCAGCCATTCATAGCTGGGTGTCCCCAAAACTTACCCTTCCTTGTAAATACTGATTTGTGGGTGTTAGAAGAGGGAAATCTGCATGAGCACATTCCTGGAAGACTAGAGCAATCCCAGGAGAACAACATGGAGGAGTCTGATCAGCAATAGTACATAGGGAACCCCTGGGAATGAATCTTCGAACCTTCTGTTGAGGTCACAGTAATTCAAATTACCTGAATCCTATGGTCACTTCCTGCATTCTCTGTGTACTAAGTTCACAAGCTACCCTGTTCTCACCCCATCTATTCTGTCTGTTGAGGGCTCTGTGCCTCTATGTCTCGTAACTCCCCAAGATGTGCTCTGGTTATTTTGTGGTGTGTTTGCTTAGCTGGTTTAGTTTTTTGTTTATTTTTAATACAAGATCTCTCTCTATAGTTCAGGTTGGCCTTGGACTCGATATATACCCAAGGTTGGCCTTGAACTCATGGCAATCCTCCTGCCTCAGCCTCCACCACACCAACATCCAAAGATAGGCTCTGAATTCAACTCGGTTCCGCTGACATGGAGGCCATACACAATTAAATGTCAACTATATGTTCCGTAGACCTGGCTCTCAGAATCCAGGAAGCACATTTTCTACTTCATTTATCCATCTGTTTCTCTGACCTCCCGTATCACCACCTACCTGCTCTTCATCATTCAGTCAACCAGGGCTCCCCCAACCCAACAGTACTGAGAACATTCTAGAGATCAAAGAAGATGAGACATGGAATCGTCTCCTTCCATAATCTTTCCTTCAGTCAACGTTTGTTGTACATCCTTCTCTCCCCCATGCCTGCTCCAGCACTGGTCACAGAGGTGTCTGACCAACACCCCAGGGGAGTCCGATGGCAGAGGAGGGGCTGTAGCTCGGGAACACTGGCCTGCCCTGTGGAGCGATCTCTTGGATGGTCCTCTCTGATTTTTGTGGCCTGCGGTATAAGGAAAGGGGACTCGGGAGCTTCTAACCTAAGACCAGCAGACATGCTGAGATCTGTGTGTGAACTGTTATACAGAGAAGTCCCAGGTGGCAGGTTGTGCCCAGTGCCTTAGCTGAGACTGACGAGAGCTGGAATGTGGCCTGAGGCTTCCATTCAGCCTTCAGCGTTTGGACCTGAGCTACAGGCCCAGTTCTCAAGAGACTGAAGGGGCCATATGAGCTTCTGTGTGCTTCTCCTGGTGTCCCGCTGCCCTGGGCAGGGATGGACAGGGAGGCCACAGAGTTAAAGAGCTTAGGCCTCTCAGTGAGTGTGGTGGAGGATAAACATTCCACACCGGCATTCTAATCAGGAAGGGAAGGGAGCTCACATTTAAGGGGCCACAAAATACCTGGCACTGTGTTTCCATGCTGACTCAATACAAGGCAGGGCCTCTGAGTGCCATTTTGTTGCTGTGAAGCAGAGGCTCAGAGAGATCGAGTGGTTTGCCCCACATCTAGTAGCAAGTGGGGGACCCTAAGGAGGTAAAGAGGAGGCCTGGGGACCCCGTGAGGGTCAGCAGCCTGCTGAGGAAGAACTCTGCTCATCACTCTTCTTGCCTGTTCATATTTTGAGCCATTTAGAGAATGGCTGGGTTTCTCAGTGACATTTGGGGCAGATAATCCTCGTCACGGGGATCACCCTGTACACCGCAGGCTGTTTAGCAACATCCCTGGCCTCTTCCCACTACATGTTGCAAACGAAAATGTCTGTGGATATTTCCAAATGCCTCCTGGGAAGCCCTGCTGCCCCTGGTTGAGAACCACTGGGTGAAGCTGTTAGGCCTGTTCTTAAGTTTCATAGGCTCTGCCTCTGACAAGATCCAGATAAGATGGAAAATGTCCCGGCCGTCCGTGCATCTGCATGTAGACAACCAATCGTGAAGATGAGGAGACGGACAGTGACCACAAACACAATTGATATCTTTCTTTGTGGAGGAGGAAAGTGGGAACCGGGGACTGAACCCAGAGAATGTTGAGTTACATCCCTAGCCCTGTTTTGATTTTTACTTTGAGACAGGGCTTCACTGTTGTCCGGAGCCGGCCTCGAACTTGTGACCCTCATGCCTCACTCTCCCCATAGTGGAATTACAGGACCACATGTCTGGCCTCATAGGTACCATGTGATAAGGGTTTAGTCCTATCAGCTACCACGCTAGGAAATCAATTTCTCTGTGTTATAGATGAAGGCGCTGAGCCTCAGAGAGTCCAGGTTACTCGCTCTCAGCGTCCATACACTGAAAAACTAGACTGTAACGGCCTGTGTTTCACGACTTGCGGCTCCTTCCTCCGTCTTCAAACCAGCTGTGCAGCCCCTCTTCCTCTCTTCGACTCTCCCAACCCCCTGTAATAGGACCTTTGTGATTCCTTTAATCTAGGATTACCCTCCATCTAGAGAGGCATCACGTCATCCTACTACGAAGTCTCTACCTTGTAAACTAAGTCCCTGGCTCTGGGATTGGGATGAGGATGTCTTTAGGAGGCCAAAGCTCAGCCTAATACACAGGATTTGGCTTCCTCTATAGCGGATCCCAAGGCTGATGCTCTCCACTGCCTCTGTAGCCTCCCCTGTACCACCTGAGCTCAGACACACAGCACCCCGAGAGAACCCGAGAGATCAGATGGGGGTGGTCAGCATTAGCACCACAGCATGAGACAGCCAGGAGCAGCTTGGTGACAGGAGCAGAGGGAGAGGCCTGGGTCCCCGGCCAGCTGGGGCAGGATGTGGGCAGGGGGCTCAGGGGGCTCAGGGGGCTCAGGAGGCCATGGGGTAAGCAGATTCCTTCCTGGCCAAGCAAGCTGACTTCATGAGCTCTGCAGCACCCACCTCCCACCTAACCTCCACTGCATCTGCTCCCCACCCTCCCCGGAAGCACGAGAACACTCCATCCGGCCATGCCAGCCAGGATTCTGTCCCATCCTTGGGACAGTTAATCCGTTTTCCCAGTTAACTCATAACCATTCTCAACTTTTCCTTTGCAAGCCTTTTCTCTGCCAAGAGCTTAGGAGGCCTCTCATGCTGTGCCTGGCTCCCTAACCAGGTCGGATTTGCAAGGTGTCTCCGCAGGCTGGACCCTCCAGGAGTGCACCAGTCCCATCTCCAGCTGGCTGGTTAGCCGGGCCTCGGTCCCCAGACACACAGAGCCTCTGACTCGGTCCAGCAACTCAGCCTCAGCTGTGACTTAGGGATGGGCTCTCCAGGCTCCTCGGATACAACGAATCTCCTGCCCTGCAGGAAAGCCACAGATAAGGAGGACAGATTCGGTTTGCATTACATCGAGAGAACTTTTAAGAACTGATCATCAAACACCTGCAGACCTTTGGAAGGTCAAAAAACCACAAATAAAATGCAGAGACAGTTAATGAGACCAATCAACAACGGGTGGAGGTGTTTAACACAGCCAATACGGGGAGCAGAAGAGAACCTCAGCATCCCTAGGAGAGATAAGATTTGCATCTGTATGAGAACAGGATGCTAGGAGAAAGGAATGTTCCAGGAAATTTAAAATATGACGAAAGAGCCGCTGGGAGGCTGAGGCAAGACGACTGCAAGTTAGAGCCCAGCCTCGGCAACTTGGTAAAGACCCTGTCTCAAAATAAAAAAATAAAAAGGAGCCAGGCATGGTGACACATACCTGTGATCCCTCTACTTGGGAGCTGAGGCAGGGGAATTGCTGTGAGTTCATGGCCAGCCTGCGCTACATAGTGAGTTCAAGGCCAATTTGAACTGCATAATGAGACCTTGTCTAAAAAAACAAAACAACCAACCAACCAACCAAAAAAAGAACAGGATGAGGAGGTAGCTCAATGCCAAGACCCTGGGTTTAATTCTCAGAGCCAGTATAGGGGAGGGGGATTAACAGAAGGGTTAGAAGAGAGTTCAGAAAATGTTTCATTAAATGAAACAAAAAAGATAAAAAGTAGGTGAAAATGGATTGTTCCAGGAGGTCTGACTTCCTAACAGGAAAAACTCCAGAATTATACATATATATGTATTTTTTTTTTAAGGATCAGCACTCAGATGAACCCAGAACAGGAGTCACATTAGAAGCTCTGAGACCTTTCTGCAAAATTCTGGAAACCGCCCCAGCCTACGGAGTGTGGAAGCCACACTAAATGTCAAGTGTGAGGGTGGACACCTACACACTGGGACACACAGGCTTCAGAACAACTGCCTCCCCAGGAAGCTCCTGGACCCTGTGCCCGCCACAGTGGGAGTGCGCGACCGTGACAGAGCCGGAGAGGGACAGCGAGCCTGGGGTTCCAACAGGAAGGAGCAGGGTGAGCCAAGCCCGGGCAGCACAAGGGGAGCAACCAGTCTGGCCGAGGGGTGAGGGGGAAGATGGGGACCCTGCAGCCCAGGAAAAAGACGACAGCAGTAAATTTGCTGACGTGTTTGTTCATGCTGACAGCTGCTCTCCTCTTCTGTCAGAAGTGGGGTTACATTGAGGATAGAAAGCTAAGCCCCTCCAAAAGGGGAGCCCTCCAAACGGGAATGAAATGTCCCTCCTCTGCCTCAGCCCCACCTCCACCCCATTTTCCACCTTTGGCAGAGGTGGTGGCCTCCTAGGATTCCACGGTAACCCACCAGCAGCAAGAACCCAACCAGCCCTAAGGGAACCATGGGGGAACCCCCCAGCATGCTGAGTTTCCGCCTGGCCTGTGCCTTCCCGGGGCCTCCTGCTCTCCCTGTACTAGGTCTCGGGGTATTCGTCACCCACTAAAACAAGATTATATAGATGTAACTGAATTTCATACACCATGGACAAAGCAACTGCAAGTTTCTGGGGGGAAAATAGGAGGCGAGAGGGCAGGAAACAATGCAAAGCCAGGCGGCGTCAGCAATCGCCTCGGTGCTCCTGGGCCGACCCCTATTTGTTTTATTTGGTTAAGAATCAAGGCCAAGCCAGGCATGGTGGTGCAGGCTTGTAGTCTCCACAAATCTGAGTTTATTCCTAATAGACCTTTAGGTGGTCTGGCTTTTGGCTTTCTGGCTTTACATCTTGCCTTTTCCAGGAGCTTGGCTTATCTCAAATTACTAAGTTTCCTAGGCTGGGCTTGAACTTGCAATACTCCTGACTCGGGCTTCTAGAGTGCTTGTAATCTTAGCATGTGGCATTCATTCTGGTCTATGGACCTAGTCTAAGGTCTACGGATCTGATCGCCTCACCTCCCAGCAGGGCCACCTTGGAATATGAATGTGAGGGCCAAGAGCCCTGGCTGCAGGTGAGGAGTCCTGGGTTCTGGCCTGACCCTGTCACTTAGCCTGTGACCATGGAGAAGCCACTTGTTCCATCTGGATTGCAGTTTGTTCTACAAAATGGGTGGCTGGGGCTCAGTGACCTCCCTCTCAGGCCCTTCCATCCTATACCTTCGAGGCTACTGTGCAGGCCAGGACATGGGCCTCCCCCCCAACTTGCCTGCCTCCCACCCTCTCGGGCCTCTCCTTTCCTGCCGGAGCCCGGCTCCAGGGAGGACACACAGAGGAACAAGCCCGGCTGTTCAAGCAGCTGTGGTGGGAGCTGGCCGGTGGCCAGTCACAACAGGGCCTGAGACACAGAGGGGCGTTTGTCCGGGGGCCTCACGCCTCATGCAGACCTGCGCTCTCCGCACACCCTTCCCCGGCACAGCGCCAGCCCCCAGCCTGCTTGGGTGGGGGAACATGGGGTCGTGAGGTGGGACATGGATACCACGCAGAACTGGGCGTCCTCCTGGGGGCCGGGAGCCTGGGCAGGGAAGGAGACAGAAGGAAGGCAGGGGCCATCTGGGGAGGGAGTCATGGGGAGGGTGCACATGGAGGGACAGGGCAGGTTTGGACAGGGCAAAGCTGGTCAGGGGTGATTACACTCTCTCCCTGATTAGCCGAGGACTTGGCCAGGGACTCCCAGCTCCTCTCCAGGCCTCGGCTTCTCAGCTCTGAAGGGCAGTGGCTCTCCTGTCCTTAGGCTTCAAGGACGCCACTGGAGAAAATAATGACCTGGTAAAGGCCTGGATGGTGTACTAGATCGCAGCAGTGTGGGCTCAGGGACCTAGGTCCAAATCCCACCTCTGCCTCTCTCATCACTGTGGACACGGAAGTCCTCGTTCTCGTGTCCCCATGCGGGTTGTAAAGACCAACTAAACACCAGTGGCAAATGCTGAGGCAGGAAGAGCTGGTCAGCGCCATGTTGTAACTTTTGGAGTCCAGCCAGCCACAGTACATTTTCCTAGCCTCTAAAATTTTTTTGCTCCCAGTGTGAAGGAAAAAAATCAAAATATTGGGCTGGGGCTATAGCTCAGTGGTATAAGGGTCTGCCTGGCAAGTGCAAGGTCCTGAGTTCGATTTCCAGTACCAAAAACAAAACAAAAAGATAAAATAAAAAATGCAAAGTATTTTCTTCTACCTTAACAAGTGCCCTCTCCTTTTAAAAGAAATTAAAACCTTCTTGAGGTCCTTAAAGTCTTGTGGGCTTTATCTACTGTGCCTGGTGGCTTTGCTGGTTCTGAGTTCTTTTGGTGCTGACCTGTCCTAGACACTGTCTCTGAGGTCCATCAGGGATCCCCAGGGTGCCCCACACCCCACAGGGCCACGCTTGGAACCTGTTTGTGTGGAAACTCTCGGTCTCGTGCTTAAAGCACAGGTGTGAGGCTGGCGGAATCCAGGTGCACCCACAGCTGGGAGCCCAGTCGTGCGGACTGGGTCCGACTCTAAGGCACCGGGCAGGCGGAGGAGGAGCACTGCCCCTCACAGTCACTCGCTGGTCCCTTCTTCTATAGTGACCACCACGCCTGGGGCTTTACCTTCATGATCCCACTAAATTCTCACCACACCCACTCTGCTTCACAAGAAGGAAACTGAGGCTCAGAGAGCCCAAGAACTCATCCAAAGTCACAGAGCTGCTGCAGAAGGATCTGGACCCGGTCTTCTGCTTCCCAGACCCACCTTGCTCTGCAGTAAAGCGTGGATGGGAATGGAAAAGAGACCTTCAGGGTGAGGGGATGGGGATGGGCGGGCAAGTGTGACTCAGGGGTCCTGGAGACATGAGAAAGCAAGAAAGGGACCCCGGCAGGGAAGAAGGGGCTGGGTGTGAGGTCACACAGGGGCCCCGTCCAGGCCTGAGGGACGCGGGCTGGGCAGGGGGAGGCAAGTGTGTGCGTGTGTGTGAGTGTCCAGAGCTGCCCAGGGTGTGTGAGGACCTTGGCCAGGCCAGCCACTGCTAAATACCCACAAGCCTCAGCAGACGCAGAGCTCGGTCAAAGCCTGCCCCATGCGGGGACCTGGCTGCCGTGGAAGAGGCCGCTGAGAGTCAGGAAGAGGTGTCTGCGGGCAGGGCAGGAGCCTGGGGCTGCACGTTCATCTTCGGAGCGAGATTCCTAGCTGGGGAAGGGCGCCCACCTCTATCCCGACTCACACCACAGGCAGGTGGGTCGGGCGTGTGCTCGGTGCAATCTGTCCACCCCAAAGGGAGAGGATGGAAGGGCCCTCTCCACTCAATCCTACCAGCTGCACAGCCAGCCCAGAGAACTTTCTAGAAACAAATCTGCCCAGGTGTCCAATGGCCTCTTAGCCTAAGATGACCCAACTCCAAACTCCTTAGCAGGCTTTTCCCTCTCCAGCAGCGTCTAGACCTGAGTCCCTAGAGTGGCAGCCACCTCACTGCCTGTCACCAGTCTACCACCCCAGTCGCCAAGCCCCTTTAGATTTGTCATCATTTCTTACACATTTTTTTAAGTCCCTTGCCTTTGCCACCTGCCCAGCTTTGGGTTCCTGTCTCCCCTGGCCTGGGTCCTGCTCAGCCTGCCTCTGCTCTGTGTCCTGCAGTCCTTCCCCACCATGCAGCCTCATGAAGCTTTAAAAGCCTCAGGGCTACGTCACACTAGAACTCAGGTTGGCCAGCGAGGCCATGCAGGGTCTGGAGGCTGGAGCTCCTGCAGCTTCCTTTCTGTCTGAGCCTAACTCGGTCAGTCCCTTCCAATCCTGCCCCAGGGCTTTTGACTATGTTGGCTCACTCTTTCCTCCCCAACTGACACTGCTGATGTTTAACCCAGGGTCATACCAGTCCCCAACACTGTACCCTCTGATGACTCTGGGCTCCTCTCTCATCAGAGCTTACAGTTGGCATCTCCTACTTGAGGAATAGCCGTGTCCCACCCAAGACCCTGAGCTTTCTGAGTATAGGGGCTATGCATGGTTTCTTTCACCTCTCAATCCCTGATACTTTGGGTGCTCTTTGCACATTGTAGGAATGAAGACATGATTGTTGGATGGATAAATCAATGCGAATGAGCAGTGGGTGTCCAGGAGTCAGTGGCTGACCTGCAGCATTGGGCAGAGGGCCTGTTGGCATTTCCCAACCCCATGGCCGCCACCATGGTGCAGATGTGACACTGAACCTGGGACGGCTGTGAGAGAAGGGTCGTGTTATGGTTTGTGTCTGAATATCCCCCAAAGCCTCACGCAGTCATGGACCTTGGAGTCACCCCACCTCGGAGCACGCTGATTATGGACTGGAACCTCCACAAACTGTGAGCTAAAAACTTTTCCTTTCTTAACTTTGGGTGCTGTGTATTTTGTCACAGCAACAAGAGAAAAACAGGTCATGAGTGGTGGTAGCATTTGAGTGGTGCTGGGTGGTCAGTGTAACCTCGGGCAGCAGGGTGAGATTCCCAGGGATATAACAATAGCTCATGTTGGCTTGTTCCTAACTCCTCTTCCCCTCACCACTAAGAACTGTATTTGATTGCACCATTCACCCCAACAGAGCATATACAACCATCTAAATTTACACAGCAGACCCAGGAAGACAAAGTCTCTGATCCAAGGTTCTCAAGGGAGCAGAGTGCGAACCCAGAGAATCTGACTCCGAATCTGATCTACATGCAGAGGCTTCTATGGTGAGAATGCACACTTAACGGGTGCCCGCTGTGTGCCACAAATAAGCCTCATGTGGCCGGAGGTGGACAGCATCATTTCCACCTGACAGGTGAGGAAACCGAGGTTCAGGGAGCTGCAATAACTGTCTAGCAGTTTCAGGCAGTGTAAGTGGGCAGAATGAGGTGGAACTGACACCGAATGTTCCAGCATTCAGGCTTCCTCCCCACTGTGCTGGACTGAACCCAGGGCTGCCACATGCACGCTAGGCGGGCACTCCTCCACTGAGCCACACTCATCATTTTTGAGATAAGTTCTCGCCGAAGTTCCCAGCTGGCCTTGAATTTGCAATTCTCCTGCCTCAGCCTCCCAAGGACCAGTGATTACAGGTATGTGCCACTGCACCTGGCCTGGGTTCAAGCTTTCAACCACTCCACTTCACTGCTTTGCTCAGTGGATGAGACTGTAGTTTTTACTGGGATTTTGCGAGGTGGAGAAAGGAAGAGCTACATTCCAGGACTACAGGAGTCTGGGGCGAGGGCAGGGAAACCTCAGGGAGAGACGTGTGGGATCTGGTGAGAGGACGGGGCCATGAGACACCCAGCACAGCCAAGCCCAGTACCCAGGGAAGGCCCGAGTGGAGATGAGTCATGCCGGAAGCACTGATTAAGCCTCCCCAGAGAGAGACTGACACACTTTGCTGTCTCAAGAATGCCCATGCTATGGATTCAAGGTGAGACGTCTGAAAACTAAGAACATTAGGGCCAGACCGGCCTGGCTCTGCTGAGCGGCCTTTGGAAAGTTTCTTAACCTTTCTGTGCTTCCATTCTTTTCCTGTGAAATGGAGGTAATAACGGGGCCTCCTGCACGGGAGTGTGGTGGAAAGAAATGAGATAATAAATAAAGGTCCTGGTGGTGTTGGGCATGCAGCACCTTTAGGGTATTTCATTTCTCTCCCCTCTCTACCGCTAAAAAGAGCTCCACAATCCCCCAGCTGCACCAGAATCAAGACTAAAGTCAGTGATGGTGCTAAGGAGAGGGAGGGGAAGGGAAGGGAATGTCCAGCTATCCCGTTTTGAAACACATCTGAGACAGGGGGAGAGGTATTTATTTCCATCTCCTTCCTGCAGTGTGGACCAGGTTATGTAAGTCAGCTTCTCAGGGCGTCCCCCTAGGGCCTCCAGGAGGGTGGCTGGCAGTGACATAAGTAAATACTTCTGTGCTCTCTGCCCTGGGGTAAGGTTCTGAGCAAACACAGGGCCTGCAAGGGACGAGGCAGGGAGGAAGAGGAGGAGGCCAAGTCTGGAGCGAGGGTGGGGCCAGGCGGTGTCAGGAGGCCCTCCCTCCAGGCCTGGCTGGGTCCCAAAGGCCGTGAAAGTGGACAAGTCAGCACCTGGTTAGCCGTGAGTTTTCACGGTGGCGTTACCTGGGGGAGAGGTCCAGTCCAGCCGGGAGGTTGGGGGCTGCAGGCTGTGTCCCCATGGACAGAGCGAAGGCCATTCCAATGCGGACACTGCCTGTCTCCTGCCATCCTGACACCTACACTCTCTCCTCCTGGGCTCTGGGGACGACTGAGTTTTCCCTCAAGGTGCTGTCCCCTGTCTCAGAATGTCCTCTGGTCCCTGTCCCATGCACAGGTAGGTGGCAGAGCAGACAGAGAAGGGACTCTGGAAATGGACTGGCTTAGTGACAGCACCCCAGCCTCATGAGCTCTCCACGGCTGTTTCCTCCACGTTCAACTGGGCTTTGTGGCTCCTGGCTCATCCTTTGTTGTGACCACCAGAGACAGCCATTGTCAATGACAAGGGCTGATTACTTAGCCATTCTGTGTCCACCAGGCGTGGACAAGGCTTTGGAGTCATCAGGCTCGTGGCAACACAGGAAGCCTGAGCAGCGAGCCAGTGCCAGAGCCAGGTGGGCACCCCGATGTCAGATCTCTTTGCCTTCCACACCTGCTCAAAGCCTCCTGCCATCTCAGAACAGTGGCATCTTGTCTCCAGATGCGCCAGTGCTTCCCAGCTGCAGCCCCCTGTCACTTCCAGAGATGGCTCCCACCCCACTTCCTCTTCTGCCCATCAGGACCTAGGTGGCCCCTGTGCCTGCAAAGACCACCAGAACATGTCAGAGGTGATGCTGGCAGTTCTAGGAATTGTCCTTACATGGCTGCCTCTGCTATCTGCCCCTCAGAAGCCCTGCCCTGGGGGCTGTCCCTGTCAGAACCAGCTGCCATGCTGTGAGAGTCCCCAGGCCCACGGCAAGGCCATGGGTGGACGCTCTAGTTGACAGTCCCAGCTGAGCTCCCAAGGGACAGCCAGCATCACTGGAAGCCATGTGAGAGACCTTTTCAGACACCTAGAGCAGACAAGCCCTCAGACATCTGACCGAAACCACGAGACCACCCGCCTGGCCCAGCTGACTTCATGGGGCGTAAGAGTAAATACCCCATCTTGTTCTGACTGATTTTACTATATTTTGTTTGATAGTATCAAGTTTGAGGGTATAGGCAACCACTTTGAAGGCAATAAGATTTACTATGATGCCCATTGTGGTTTGACTATTATCTTCTTTTGAAGTCCTGTAAGGTCTCGAATGTAGGTTTTATTGGTCTTGTTCTGTACTATTTTTTTTTTTTTGTTCTGTACTGTTTTGTTCAATTCTACTATACCTGAAGATATAGACAACTACTCTTTTTAAGATAGTAAGAGGGAGGCATAATGGTAACCATTGTTGATCACCTGGTATTCTGTTTTTGCATCATGTACTATGTCCATCCTTCTGTTCTGACCCTGTTTTGCTTTGTCACATTTTTTTTTTTCTCTTCAAAAAAATGTTATAAGAATTGTGGGAGTTTTTATTATAATTGATGATATAGGCAATTCTTTTTAAGATAGCAAGAGGCAGTATGGTAACCATTGTTGATCACCTAGTATTTTGTTTTTACATTATCTATTTTGTCCATCCTTTTGATTTGACTGACTCTGATCTGTTATGTCACATTTGGTTTTACTCTCTTCAAAAAAAAGTAATAAGAACTGTGGGAGTAATAAAACCCAATGTGTAATTGTCATTGTACAAAAGAAAGGAAAAGAAAGTGCTCTAAAGAATTATAACTGCATATATATTTAAGTGTATAAGGTAGATAACCGTATTACTGAGTTTTGTTGGATCATTGAACAGAACTGTTTGCAGTCTCACTGTTTGAAAGTCCACTTTATATGCTTTAATTTTGTAACGTGAACAACTATTTCTAAGATAACAATATGTAATTTATTAACTAGTGATTTCCTATTGTTTATTTTTTCTGAAATTCTGTATAACTTGTACCCTTTTTCTGTTTTTTTTTCTTTTTCTCCTTAAATACAAAAAGAAACCCTCCAAAAAAAAAAAAAAACTGTAGGAGTAATAAAACCCAAAAAGTGTAATTGTTATTGTAAAAAAGAGTGGAAAATAAAGTGATCTAAAGGGTATAACTGCATGTATATTTAAATGTGTAGGATAGAAAACCATATTACTGAGTTTTTGTTGAATCATTGAACAGAACTGTCTGCAATCTCACTGTATGAATGTCCACTCTGTATGCTTTAATTTTGTAATTTGGACAACTGTTTCTAAGATGACAACATGTAATCTATTAACTAGTGATTTCTTACTGTATTTTTTTTCTTGAAATTCTGTATTACTTGTACCCTTTTACTGCTTTGTTTTGTCTTTTTTTCTCTCTTTAAATAAAAAAAAAAAACAAAAAAAAATAGTAAGAGTTTATAGTAATCATGATCCCCCATTACATTGCTCTGAAGCCTTATAATGTCTGCATTCATTAGTTGGAGTGGTTTTATCCTAGTTTGTTTGATTTTATTATCTGTGATAGTATAAACAGCTACTTTAAAGAAAAGAAGACATTAGAATAGCCAGAGCTGATTTAGTATCATCTTACTCTGAAGTCCTACTGTGCTTCTGTTTTTCTGTTGCCTTTGGTTCTATCCTGTTATATCTTATTGGATATTATTATGTGTGACAGTATAAACAAATTTTCTATGGAAAATGAGATAATATAGTAGCCATTGTTCGTCCTCTGCTTTTTGGTTCTGAAAGCCCTGTAATGCTTTCATTCTCTTGAATGGCTTTATACTGTTTTGTTATGCTTGATACTGTTGTATATGAAACTATGTTCAACTATTTCAAAGAAAGAGACACTATGGTAGTTACTGTTAATTATGGGTTGTCTTGTGGTAAAATACTATGTTACTTTTCATTGTTCTGATCTGATCTGCTTTGTTATGTCCCCTTTTGTCTTAATGTCTTTAAAAAAAAAAAATTTAAAAAAAGGGTAAATACCAAGCTATTGTTGGAAGCCACCAAGCAAGTGGTTACACTGCAGTGACACCCAGCAGGCCAAGCTCCACACATGTTCCCCTCCGGCTTTTTGACAGTCAGAGACAGTCCACAGAACAGGCCTGGCCTCTGTCTCTGTCTTCCTTTTGTACCTGTCTCCTTTCCTACCTCAGCATGAGGAGCACCTGCTGGACCGGATTCCTGCTCTGCTCCGCATGGGGGCCTACTATTCATTTAAGGAGCACTGCTCTTGAAACTTGCTTCTTAACCTCAAGTGTACCCAACCTATCTCATTCCCCTGCAAGACCAAGGACATCAAGAGAAGAGTAAGTAAGGTATTTTCAAGAATTGCTGGGACTTTCAACTGATACTTTTTACAAATCCCTGTTATAGATCCCCTGGTGTGGTGTCTAGAAGCCTCTAGTCCTTGTTCCACACTGGTGGTCACTTTGGATTCCAGCAGAGCCTCTGCAGACGGACCACCCCAGCTTGAGGTCACCTCCCTAACTAAGCAGCAGCGATCATCTCAATGGCACCAGACTGCTCCAGGCCGCAAGGATCTCTTGCACAGAGCCAGGTCTGAGAGTGGACAACCAGATCCTGCCCCCTCAGCAACCCTATGAGAGCTGGCCCTGTTCCTTTGTTACCTTGTAGGCCTGATCTGCTCTGTCACTGCTACGTCCCCTTCAGTGCCTCTCTTTGAGCCAAAGTCCCCTGGATCATTTTCTCTTCCTTCTCAATGAAAAGTCCTGCTTGCTGGGTATGGTGGCACACACCTGTAATCCCAGCATTTGGGAGGGTGAGGCAGGAGGATCACCATGAGTTTGAGCCCAACCTGGGCTACACAAGCAATTCAAGGCCAGCCTGCACTACATAGCAAGAAGCTGTCTTTAAAAAACCAAAACCAAGCGCCGGGCATGGTGGCTCACACCTGTACTCCCAGGAGGCTGAGGTGGGAGGATCATTGTGAGTTGGAGACCAGCCTGAGCTACAAAGTGAGCTCAAGGCCCGCCTGAACTGCATAGCGAGACCTGGTCTCAAAAAAGACAAACAAAACAAAACAAAACAAAACCAAAAAAGCTTTGCCTGTATACTCACATTTCTTGGCCTACTTTTTAATTTCTATTATCACTGAGTCAAAGGACCTCACGTGACATATGCAACCACACTGGGAGTTCCAGGATCTGGGAGTGGCAGCCACCAGCCTTGTATTCCTGGATCTGGAAGACAGTCCCAGGTTCTGGAATTCAAGGGTTCCAGGAAGTCTTGTGATTCCTCTACCCAATTTTGGCGGTCACTGGTGCTCTCCAGCCTGGCCAGGGATCTGGGCATATTTAGAGGGCCTCAAGATTTCCCAGTGTTTTAAAAGAATGAGGTGTGTAAAATACCCTCCTTCCTAAAGTGCTGAATACCTTTCTGTTTCTGGCATGGGAACCTGATTTACACACCCTGCGCAGTGTGTAACTTTTCACAGCTCTGCGTGGGATCTCCTAGATTTGTTTCTTTTATTATTAAGGTTTTCCTCCCAGAGTATTTTCAGTGTGGCTCTTTGTGTGCTCCACCTTCTGAGGTTTTATTTACCTAAGAGTATTTTTGTTATGACCTCATGTTTAAATGACAGCTTGGCTGATTTGAAGATTCTGGGTTGAACAAGTTCTTTTCTTTCAGTTCTGAGCAATATTACTTCCTCTATCAAGTGTTGCTGATTCTTGCTCCTGTGTAAGTGGTCTGTTATTTTCTCTGCTCTTCCTCTGGGTTTTGTATTTTTATTCTCAACCTGATATCTCTGTGTAATTTTCTTCTTTATTTCTATTGTTGGTTATTCTGAGTCCTTCCAACCTGTGTTCATTCACTTTTCTGTAATTTTGAAATATTTAACCTTTTTTAAAAAGTCTTTTTGAGACAGGGTCTCACTATGCAGTTCAGCCTGGCCTTGAACTCACAGTGATCCTCCTGCCTCAGCCTCCAGAGTGCTGGGATTACAGGCATGTGCCACCACAGGTAGCTCCCAGATGCTTTTGAGGATAATTTCCAATCTGCTCATTTTGTCCATCAGTTAATTCTTCAACAGAATCCATCCTCATATTGTATGCCATTGACAGTATCTATTATTTTAAATAGTTTTTTTTCTTAGCTAATGTTTTGACTTTGTTCTCACGTAAGACTTTTTCTCTTCACTGTAAGCAGTGTTTTGTTGTTGTTGTTGTTTTTGTTTTTGGTCTTTTTGAGACAGGGTCTCACTGTGCTGTTCAGGCTGGCCTTGGGCTCACTTTGTAGCCCAGGCTGGTCTTGAACTCGCAATGCTCCTCCTGCCTCAGCCTCCCGAGTGCTGGGATTACAGGCGTGCACCAACATGGCCAGCTCTGTAAGCAGTTTTTAATGAAAACTGCAGGTGATTTCATTCCTCTGTCTCCCCAGTTGTCTGCTTGTTTGTTTTTCCTTTTTCCTTTCCTAGTGGATGAGATTTAGCTTCGAGTTCAAGGGTCTGTTCTTGGGTCCTTGTCTGGCTGTGGCCTGGTGACAGCCTTCCTGGAGGGTAAAGACCCACATGGAAGGTCCCACCACCAGCCTTTGCCTCCTGTACCTGCACAACACAGGAGACGTATTTCTTCCTGGAAACCTGGGCCACTCTGCTAACTCTCTGATCTCCACGTCTTCACCATCCCTGCGGGTGGCATGAGCTGAATGTGTGTTATTATAACAGAGAAGGGGAAGCAACCCTCCTTTGAACAAGGCAAGGTGCGCTGAAATGCTTTTTACCATCCGTGCCCAAGTCAGGAGTCACCGAGGGACTGAACTGCATTTTGGCCCCCGCTGCATCAGTGGTGGTAGAAAAAGGGATGAATCTGTGACTTCTTGTTCTCTCAAGAGTTCGTAAATTTCCTCTTTTATCTCCTTAAGTGCTAGTATCATGCTTTACTTAAAATTTGAGTCTAAGCCAGGCATGGTGGCTCACGCCTGTAATCCCAGCACTCAAGAGGCTGAGGCAGGAGGATCATTGTGAGTTCGAGACCAGCCTGGGCTACAAAGTGAGCTCAAGGCCAGCCCAAACTGCACAGCACGACCCTGTCTCAAAAAGAAAAAAAAAAAAATCTGAGTCTACCCGCTTCAACAATTCTGGTTCAGGTGGCTGATGTCTTTTTCTTAAGAGTAGTATACTCAGGTATACATGTGGGAAGGTGAATTGAGCTTCTCCTAGGAGCACCAACTGCCCGTCTTGCATTGTGTTGTGGGGGAACAGCTGAAGTGTAAGAGGGACTAAGGTTGGGCACGGTGGTGCACATCTGTAATCCCAGTACCTGGAAGGCTGAGGCAGGAGGATCGCCCTGAGTGTGAGGCCAGCCTACTATCTATCTATCTATCTATCTATATATATATATATATATATAGAGAGAGAGAGAGAGAGAGAGAGAGGGAGAGAGAGAGAGAGAGAGAGAGAGAAAGGGACTGGGATAAGAGTAGGATGAATCTAGGGCAGAAGGATCCCACCCTAGGATGAGCATGCTTGGGAACTTTTAGTTGGCACTCTGCCAAGTTTGACTGTCAGGGTTGAATATGGGGGGTTGGGGGTGGGGTAGGGTGTGGTTGGGGGGGTGGGGGTGAGTGGGTGGGGAAATGAGTATTTGCTTTTATCAGTTTCTTTCTGCACAAGGCCTTGAGCAGCCCAGACTACCTGTGGGCCACTGCTGCCCATTTCTGCATGAAGGGGTTGGACAGCTACTAGAACGCTGGAAGGTGAGGTTCCTCGAAGGCAGGCAACGGGAGGGCTCAAGTCCAGGCTGTGGTTTTTCAAGCTTTCATTCACTCCAGACAGAGGGCTCAGGCAGTGGCCGCCTCTATCTGTAGGCTCCACAAGTATGGATACAGCTTGTCAGGGATTGAAAAAAAAATCTCCCAAACCCTGCATCTGTACCCAATATGTACAGCATTTTTTTTTTTCTTGCTTTTTGGTTTTCTGGAGACAGGGTCTCACTATGCAGTTCAGGTTGGCCTTGAGCTCATTTTGTAGCCCAGGCTGGTCTCAAACTTGCAACAATCCTT